CCTTCCTCTTTTTCTGTTTTTACCCTGCTGGCTCTCCCGCAGGGATGTTTTATGATCTGCGATATGTTCCGTGTATTTGTTGGCTTGACTATATACTTTGTACATTTCAAACATTATAACCCCCTTTGATATTGTCGGACACTGGGCTATAGGTGTATAATCCTTTATCTGTTTCTCACACTGATTCATTGACACAATATGGTTGATATTTTGTTCTTTTGACATGTCTCTTGCACTGTCATCTAGCACAGGTATGTTTTTTCTGTGTACAACTGCATTTGACTGTTACCTTCTATTGTTATATTTTTGTTTGTACACAAGTTGAGTTTTTATTTTTTAATATTAAAACTATTCAATAAAAATGTATTAAAAAGAAAATCTTCACTTTTCTAGTTCAGATTCATGTTTAACACGCATTACTGCAAACCACAGTAAAATGTATATTTGCATTGGGGTGATTGCTATTCATTCCTAATGACACCAAAATAACATACATGGTGAAAAAAAACCCCACACCTACCAGTGGTAGTGGAAACTCACTAGTGGAAGGCTGTAGGGGACTCAAGGCCCGAAGAGAACAGAAGGTTTCCCACGAGGGGGAGAAGTGGTAGATGAGGGGAGATTAAACCACATATTTAGTCTCATATGCGCAATGAGTGGGCCATTAGGGGGCTGATAGTTGTGGACCTAGATCTCGGGGGGAGCCATAAAAGTGAGATAGGGGAGACTGGGTAACAGGAGAGCACTTCCAGAGCGACCCATATAGGTAGCTTGTTGTTGCTGCATATAAGGAGGTCAAAGATGCGATTTGTGCCACCAAGTAGTACTTGGAAAAATTGGTAACTCCTAACCCCTTCTGTTTCCGGTGTATGAGCATGGTGTGTTTGGTGACCTGAGATCTCCTATTAACCCAGATAAAGCGTAGAACATAGTTTTGAATTGACTTCAGGCCATAGGAAGGGACTGGGACGGGAAGGGTGCAGAACAAGTATAGAAGCTTTGGGAGGATAGTCATCTTCACTGCGTTAATTCTGCCTATCCATGAGAGGGATTGTCGAGACCAGGACGTGAATAGGGCTTTAAGAGAACGCAATATTGGGGTATAATTGGTGTTCTGTATCTCCATTCTAAGCATTGATAGTGTGATCTCTGTAACCTACAATTGTGATGAGATAGCGATAACTTCAACCTCAGTTGGCTACCACAGTCCGTGGCTCAATCGATAAGACATCTTATAGATCTTGTGAAGTTTATTCCATAAACTGAGAGAATCTTACAACAATGAACATTAGATAGGTCAAAAGATCATAATGTTTCCTGCTCCATGACATGAGGCTAGAGCTGCAATGCATTACTAGAAAGGGGGATGGCTATCTATACAGCATTAACTAAACCAAAGGAAAGGGAGGAGCAGAAACAAAATATAGAAACACTTAAAGGCATATGACAGTCAATATGGCAGTCATGTGAAACATGAATATTGGCCTTGTAGAAGATGTGGTAGGATTTAATAAGATTAATCCCAAGATATTCCAAGTGGGTGGTGGACCAGGTGAGATTATAGTTTTGTTTCAATAGATTAATCTCCACCTTAGGGAGAGAGATATTGAGGGCCGATGGTTTGTCCTCGTTTACTACTAAGCTGGAGATATTGGAGAAGCGGGTAAGGGTAGAGAAAAGGGAAGGTAATGTAGTTTGTGGTTGAGTCAAGGTCAAAAGCAGGTCGTCCGCGAATGCGCTAACTTTGATGAACTGTTGGGCAACTGTAACCCCGTTGACATCAGGGTTAGTTCTAATGAGATGTAATAGAGGCTCTAAAGCCAAAATTAAAAGGATCGGGGAAAGAGGACACCCCCCGAGTGTTCCCCTGTGGCTAGGGAAAAGGGAGGACTGTTGAGAGAAATATCGAACTGTGGCAGAGGGTCCTCGATAAAGAACCCTCAGCCAGGATGTGACAACGGATGGGAATCCCCATTTATGCAGGACGTAATATTCATACTCCCAGGAAAGTGAGTCAAATGGTATGATTCTAGGCCTAGAATCATACCAGGGGTTCTATTTTGTTGCAGCAAGTGGATAAGATGAATAACTTTATGGGTATTATAAGGAGGCCTGCCTTATGGATAAGGTAGTGTAGAAAATAATTGATTATGGTAGCGAGAATTTTGGTGAGGATTTTAATGTCAATGTTTAACAGGGAAATGGGTCGAAAATTATGAGGGTCCTGAGAATCCTTTCCAGGTTTCAGGATCATTACTATTTGGGCTACCGTGGATGATGGATGTAAGTCAGAATGGGAGTGTAGGTGGTTGAAAAAATTAGTTAGATGGGGAGCGAGGGTTTAAAATTTTTTTTTGTAATACAGCACCGAGGGTTTTGGGGTTTTTTTGTGTCCTAAGTGTTTTGATTGCTGCTGCAAGGACCTCTGACAGTGATATTGGCCTTCATTTTATCTGACATAGAATGGAATAAACTGGGGAGATGAATGTCTCGAAAAAAGTCATCTGCCAGGTCTTTGCGAAAAGGTTGTGGGGGCTGATATAATGTGGACAGCACTGAAGCAAAGGATTCCACAATTTTAGAGCTGTTGGCTGTGATGACTTTTGTGGGTAAGCATAACCTGATCGGGTTGGTATCTCGGGTGTGGGCTTTTTAGAAGGCTAGCCAGCATCAGGCCTGGTTTGTTGATGCAGGCAAAGTACTTATGTTGTGACCATCTGAGCTGCTTTTCTGCCTTGTCGCCAAGGAGGAGGTTTAGTTCCACCTTAGTAGCTTCCAATCGTTTGCACAGAGAGATTGAGCGGGACACCTTAAATTTAGTTTCCAACTGTGCTAGGGGGAGGATAGAGTTGTCACTTGGAGTCTCTCTCCTTCTTTTTGCAAGTTGGATAAGTTTCCCTCTAAGTGTGACTTTATGAGCTTCCCACAAGGTTGTGGGGGTCGAAGCCGAGGCAGTGTTGTCAATGATGTAAGTGGAGATAGAGTCCTGGAGGTTCCCACCATCTCGTCGAAAGATAACAGGGAGCCATCAAGATGCCAGGAGTAGTATTGAGGAGTAGAAGCCAACGATTTACAGGTGAGTAAGCGTGGTGAGTGGTCAGACCAAGATGTAGACAGGATCTTGACATTAAGAATATCTGGGATAAAAGTTTGAGGAATGAAACAATGGTCTATGCATGTATGGCAGTTATGAGGTGCTGAGTAGTAAGTGAAATCTCACGTCCTGGGGTTGAAATCCCTCCAGCCATCCACCAAAGCGTGTTCAGACAAAAGGTCTGCGAATCGTTTGGTTTGTGAGTTAGCTTCGGTAGAGGCCCAAGAGGGGTCAGCCGAGGGGGATCGGTCTAACTGCCTGTTCAAAAGTGAAGATTTTCTTTGTTATAGGGAATATTCTGAACTGTTCATTGTTGCAAAGCAGGACCGTAAAAAAATATACATTTGTTTTGAATTTCTCCTGAAAAAATAGGATTGCACTTCCTGGTATGTGAGTGTACATAGGAACTCTTGTGCCTTTAGCCTCATAGCTGTATACTGTATATGTAGTGTGAAAGGCACTGTTGTCTTTGAGTTCAATAAAATTTGTTGTTGTCTCTTCTATGCTGCTCACTGTTCTCTTTGTAAGGGGCTCTGACGTGAGCAAAGCCTTTGCTCCACCAAGATGGCCACCTCCACACAGATACACAGTGCAGAGCAAGTGAAGTGAAAACCCATGATGCCTTCTCTCCAATAGCTTGTTAACATGGGCAGCAGCTCTTGCCAACCCTCTGAAAAGCGGTCTGCAGTGAATCGCTTTTTAGAGGGCAGTTGACAGGCAACTGGGAGGTGATATGTCACCTCCTCATCATCTATTTAGACCCAGAAAAGTGTGCACCACCACATCCCAACTGTGTGCATTACATTGCCTTTGGGTGGAGTTAGTGGGTAGAGTGTGGCACCCCCTATATAATCTGGTGTGGGAGGAGTCTTGGTCAGGAGTAATAGGAACAGGCTACCCCAATACACCTATGTAAGTCTGTAGCCTGGAAAAGAATACTCTTCGGGGTATGCCATGGAGACTTTAGAGGAGAATTCACTTCCGGGAAACCTACATGGTGGAGATGACTGGACATTCTGTGTTCCTATCCTGTGGTGAATTGTTTCTCTGAAATGGGTACTATGGAAAGGAAGAACGGGATGTACAGAATTGTTCACATATTGTTAAAAGGTTGGTTGTATGTACATTCATTTCTTATCGGAGGCTGGCCTCAGGCAAGGAGAATGTGAGTAGCCAAGATGGTGGAGTTTCTCCCTATAGAGGTGTGTGTGCACCCTAGCATCCTGACTATGAAGAAGGCGGGAGGTACCCTGGCCAGCTTGGTGGAAGCTGGCAATGAATCAGAGCTGCCAGCAGGCATATCTAGTAGTGAAGGTATTTTTTTGTTTATACCAGTTTGGTCTAAATGAACTATATAAACTAAACATGGAGATCAGCTTGCAGAGAGGTGCAGGGTGGTGCGGGCAGTAAATACACGGAGTCTGGTTGCAGTAAACTTTATTGAATAGAATGCCAAAGTTACAAACACCCTGTCGGGAGAGAGCCTCTAGGGGAATAACTCAGAGTTCATGGCAGTCAGATGTGGTTGAGGAGAGGTCCTGACAGCGACTATTTCATAGGAAGAAGCAATGCCTGCCCAGTCCGGTTACATAAGGGGAGACTTCATACAGGTTTCTCTCCTCTTCAGGATCCTTTCCCTACCACTAGTTACTCTCCTCAGCAAGCGTGGTCTCTCTCTCTACATTAGCCACTTGCAGAATGCGTGCCAAAACCCAGGGGCCCGGGGTTTAAATAGGTCTCCATTATTACTATGGAAATACCATTGTATATCCAGTGGTGTTTGTCCCCTTTTGGTCTTTAACCTCTTCCGCGCCGCCCTATAGCAGAAATACTGCTACAGGGCAGCACAGGTGCGCAAAATCATGTATACTGTATATACATGATTTTGCAGTTCTGGGTAGGTGGCACGCGCGCTGCCATTCGGCTGTCAATCACCATGTCCCAGCCGGTGATTCCCAGCCAGCACCCGGCAAATACCGAGTATCACCGACAGGGGTGAGACCTGTGTATAAACAACACAGATCTCTCCCGTCAGCTACTGCACACTGCTTTGAATGGCTCTACATAGCAGATCCATACAAAGCAGTGTGCCTACATTGTAAAGCACACACACAGCACAGTGAAACAGCACATAGTTAACCCTTTGATCGCCTCACATGTTAACCCTTTCCTGCCCAGTGCCATTAGTACAGTGTCAGTGCTTTTTATTAGCACTGATCACTGTATTGGTGTCACTGGGGATATCAAGGACACCAAGTCAGTTCCCCCCAGTGTCAGAATGCCCGCTGCAGTCCCGCTATAAGTCGCTGATCCCCGCCATTACTAATAAAAATCCAGTATATATACTGCCATTTGTAATTGCTATCATTTTCACTTAAACCAATTAAGTTACACGTATTGGGATTCTTTTTAGCAAAGACATGTACAAGAATCCATTTTTGCCTACATTTATGATGAAATTCAATTTTTAACATTTTTTTACTGGACATGTTTAATAGCAAAAAGTAAAAAATATAGTTTCTTTTTCAAAATTGTTGTTTTTTTGTTTATAGCGCTAAACATAAAAACCGCAGAGGTGATCAAATACCACGAAAAGAAAGCTCTATTTGTGGGGAAAAAAGGACATACATTTCATTTGGGTGCAGTGTTGCATGACCGTGCAATTGTCAGTTAAAGTAATGCATCGCCATATCTCAAAAAATGGCCTGGTCACAAAGGGGGGGGGGGGGGGGGGGGGGGGGGGGGGGGGGGGGGGGGGGGGGGGGTAAATCCTCTGCAGGGCAAGTGGTTAAACAGACCATTGAAATTATTTTGTTAACTCTGATAATTCAGAAAGAAAGAAAGAAAGAAAGAAAGAAAGAAAGAAAGAAAGAAAGAAAGAAAGAAAGAAAGGAAAGGGGTGTGCTCTCTGCTTAAACTCCACTTTTATCAGTTTCATTCTTTCCAGCTATCTCTCTGGACTACCCCCCCCCCATATTATTGAAATGAGAATAGGAGGATGTTCTGTAGTCTTGTCCTAGGGTGACAGCACTGCTCCTCCATAAATACAGCGCTGTGTTGAATGTGTTGATGGGAATTGTGTTACTGACTGGATCATAAGCTAAAAAAAAAAGAAAACCGAGGCAGCAACAACATCTAAGGATTGGTAAGCTACGATATATAACATTTTTCTTCTTGGGCTTAGATATACTTGGAGCAATCTTTAATGGAGAAGCTCTGGAGCTAATGTTTCTGGAGTCAATTGGAGCTGTTTGTATAGGCACTGGAAAAAGCCTGGAATTCAGTTGCTGGAGACACCCCATGGCAGGAGCTGGCAAATACTGTGCACAGCCAGCCCTAGTTGAAAATATTTTTAAAGACCCCAGGGCTCATGCCCACAGGATGTTTGAATTTCTCCTCTGAACACCTTTTACTCCTGGCAGGAAAAAGCAGATTAAAAATGTACCCAAAGCCACTATTGTACATGTGTTTATACATGTCAGGTGTTTCAGCGTTTATTTCTTCCACTAGCCAGAATATTAATTTATCCTGGCCACTGGATTGAATGAATTCTGAAGCATTCAGCTGGAGCTTTTAGCCATGTTTCTGTCCAAAATCTCCTCTCCTGAATGCTCTGGTGATGGTTTTTGTTTTTCAGCCTGTAAATGCTCTGCTTCTAACACACCTTCAAACACCTATGTGTGCAAGGTGGCTAACATGGAGGTATTTTTACAGGCTGAAAAAATGTCAAACTCCTGTAAAAGAGGCATTGTGTGCGCCCTAAAAAAAGCACTATGTGCATAAGGCCTAATAGTGTTAACACAAGCCTACAGTCTGCCAAAACTACTTGTGATTCATAGATATGACCTTAAAAAGAAACTCCAGTCAACAGGTAATAATAGTGAATTGTCAAAAGTATTTAACATTAAGTGCTAATGTCACAATATTCCCAATTTACATTTTATCAGAGTTTTTCATAACCCATTGCATCCCAATCCAGCAGACTTTTTACAGTACTTCTAGGACTGCAACCTTTTAGGCCCTTTGAGCAGATTCCCTTCTAAATCAGAGTAGAACGGGACATGTTCAGTTTTTCTCCATATTTTGACAGCAGACTATAGCAGACCCGTGATGGCTGTGGGTGGTCAGATGTCAGTTGATTTAGTCTGTTTACATCAAGCTACCTCTGTGCAATCACGTTTAGGTCTGGAAGAATGAAAGAGAACGCAGTCATTTTCCATTTTTTTTTCTGGATCTGGACAGACTCGGAGGTTGGTGGATGTAAAGGGCACAAGTCTGCTTAAAGTGAATGTAAACACTTACCTTGTAAAACAACCCATTCAATTTAAAATAGACATGAAAGGCAAAACATAGATATCCATCTCATGAGTTTTGGGTCCCTCTATAGTCCTGCACAGCCAGGCAACACACATTTTCTTCAGACCTTGCACACAGGAGACAGTAAACAGTCCTTGAGCTTGTTTTTTTGTTTTTTTTTAATTTTATTAAGGGGTATTGAACTTGGATGGAGTAGAGGGATGTATGGGATGCCCAAGGGAACTGGGAACTGAGGACAAACTCCTTAACAATTATGAACAAGTCCATTAGACAGAAAAACATCTTGGTTGGAAGAACTCTCCAGCCCTCCAGGTGAATTCTCCTCATAATCCAGCTTCCTTAGCAGTCCCAGATGGGGCTTGTCAGGTTTCCCACCAGAATTCCCTCTCCTCTATTCAGCCCAGAGGGTATAGGATTACTAACCCAGTCCTCTCCTGTGAGCTGGTTGGGTTGGTGGCTGCCTTCAGGCCTTCTGCTGGACTGGCTCGTTTCCTGGCTCCACAGATGGCCCTTGCTCTGGGGGCCTGTGAGACTGAGTTATCATCCTTCCAAGGTCCCAGCCTGTAGGTAGGCCCCTTCACACTGGGCCCGCTCCCAGGCATCTAGATCTCTGCCTCTCACTCCATCTTCCACCCAAAATCTCCTGCTGCTGAGCAGTCTCAGCCACACTTAATGGCTGTCCTGGCCCCTTGCCAAGCCTCCTGCTTGAGAAATGGCCAAAGTCCTCTAAGTGTGCAGGCCAGCTCCTCCTCACCCCTGCCCACTTCTTGTAGAACCTTCTCTAAATTTCTAGAGCAAGAGGAGGGATCAGGGCATTGACCTGCAGAGCCTCCCAGCCCTGGCCTAAAATAACCCTCTGACTCAACCTTGCTGCTATTCAGCCTTTCTAGCTAAAAAAAACCTAGCTAGCTCCCCCTAGTTACCTAGGTGGGTGCTACATACATAAAAAGAAAACATTTTAAACACCCCCCCCCCTTTTTTAAATGATCATATTCTCACTGTTCCCAGCTGTGTAAGGAGCTCAGAGAGGTGGGGGAAGAGAAACAGCAGTGCATTGATTTTCCCAGTGAATGGCTATGCGTGCGTGTGTGTGTGTGTGTGTGTGTGTGTGTGTGTGGGGGGGGGGGGGGGGTCTTGCCAGGGCAAGTCTGACCATTGGAGGAGAGCAGGCTGAATTCACAGCATATCTAGAGAACTGACCATAATGTTTTCTTCTGCTTAATGTGGTCAGTTTTTAATAGGAAAGCAGAGGGACATGGCATAAAATACAGGAATTTTACAAAGAGAACCAGATACTTTTTCAATACAAGTACACGGTACAGCAGGCACAGATCAGGAGTATTATATGTTCATATTCTCTAAGGAGTTTCTGATGAGGTCTGTCTGAAAAACTGACAGGTGGACCTGATCTGAAAGCTTGTGTGAAAGAGGCCTTAGTTGCAAGAAATTATGCTGTACTTCCATCAAATTTCGGGGTGGCTGTAAAAATGCATATTCTAAATTAAAATGTTTACACGAAAAATGATTATGAATCTGAATGATCAAAGTCAATCCCCAAGGCACAACAGTTTTTTATTATTTCCCAATAAAAAAATATATTCTTATAATGATCTTTTTTGAAGATAGAGTATACATGATGAAACATAAACCAAAAAAAATCCTTCAGAATTAATGCTTTATTTACAAAGGGACTATGAACGACAAAATCTGCTGGACCATAAAACAGTAAAGTTACATGTATAACACGATGCTTCAGGATTCAGCTCATCAGATAGTAATCCTCAAGGGGCATTCTACAGATATCATCACAATCCATCCAATCCACAGTTACACTCTAGTGATACTAAAGGCTTAATCCTGGAATACTGATAGAAATGCTATGTGACCTGACTTCAAAAATTACCGCTGTTCATTGTATCCTGCAGTCACTCTTTACTACCAAGAACACAGAGCAACATGGAAACTAGCAGCAATACTAACTTACGCTAAGGGATTGTTCACATACGTGGCAGCCCTTGCTGTCCATGGTAGATTGCTTTTCAGAGGGCAGTTGACAAGTGGCTGGGAGGCAATATGTTGCCTCCTCGCCCGCTGGTGTGACCCCATTCACCCAAGTGGGTCACATTTGGAAGGACTACCACCAGCCAAACATGACAATCTTGTCTTCTCACCGGTATGGCTTAAGGATAGTGGTCAAGGGACAGTAAAACCATGTCTCAACCACCTATTTTTACTGCCATCTTGCAATTTTTACCTGTCTGTGACATAGGAATACTACTCCTTATCTTAAGAGGAAGACACACAAGAAAGCATTGTGGTGACTTTGTGGATTTGGCGTTTTTACTCGTATTTACTATTGACCTGAGTTTTGAATTTAAGATTGACATACATAACTTAATAAATCTGATATTACAAACAAAGAGAAATGTGTTAAATTTTTTATGGCAACATCTTTGGTAATGTCAGAGCTGACTCTACCTAGGCATACTAGGCACATGCCTATACGCACCCATACTGATGAGTCTTTTTAAAACTGTAGCACAAACAGCTCTCCCCGATGATCTGGGTTATCCGGAGTTTAGTCCCGGTTTTTTGTCATCCCCAATTCCTTCTCTTTCAAGCCTCCGGACACAAGCACCTGTCTGACTTTTTGACTTCAGAAGGCACTCTCATTTCCACAGACCTCTCTCGCCTTGTTGATCCTCCCTTGGACTATTGGGGGGGTCTTCAGTTGCGATTCTTTCTTCGCCATTGTTCTCGTTTGCCCAGAATCCCTAGACCTCTTTCACTTTTTGAGGCTCACTGTCATAAAAGGGAACCAGTTCGTCATTCTAGCTCTGAGATATATATATGCTTCCCTGACTCACCCAGGTGCTGACTACATTTCTGGCTAAGTGGGAGGCGGACCTGGACCTACGACTTACGTCGCAGCAGAGGGAGAAGATTCTATATGTTTCCATATAAATTCTTGTTTGCCTCTAGGCTTCATGAAA